GAAGAGATAATAAGTCTCAAAATAAACTTTAATTTGTTTTACATTATTTCTAGTTTTCATTCCTTATATAAAAAATGCATTTCCTCTATAAGCACGACAAGTACTAGATTTTGCTATTTATTTGATGCGGTTTCTTCCGAAAGGAGATCAGAGTGTTTTAAGGCGGAAAATGTAATTGATACATCAGGAAATATAATTACTTTTTTTTATATTTAGCGACTCTTAAGATGTGTAATGTACAATGAATGCATTTAAAAAAAGTCCTCTTCAAAACGTTTTATGTTTAATGGAATAGTGTGTTAAGTGTTTTAGGAAATATTACACAAGCGTTTGAGACACAACAAAATACAATTCCATATACAAGAAGGTTTCTAGATGTTAATTCACGCTGGTCATATTTTAACCCAGTCCCCTATTTTTTTCAAGAGCAATAAGCTAATCAATACTTTGCAAAACATAAATAAACCTAAAATATATATTATCAATCTTATCTCTGTGGTCGAATGCATTGCGTTTTTCCTAAATACTAAAACCTAAATAAAGAAGAGTGTTGTATTTTTTTTAAGTAGAACGTGTTTGATTCAGTAGATAGGTAAAAATCACACATATATATAGCTTAAGTATTTTTTTGATTGAAGTTTCCGCATGCATAGCGTGTTTTGAACATCGGGTAAAGGTACTTTTTTGTAGGTAAGCATACTGGTATTAACAATACTAAACACTATAAAAAAAAAAAAGAAATACATATAGGATCTCCCATGGTTTAATTTGTGGTTGGATATGATTTTTTATCCAACGAGTTGTGTGTTTTTATCCCCGAGCCTTGGCGAGGGGATAAAAACACACAACAAATTGGACAAAAAAACATTGATGTAACCATCAATTGTCGCCCGGGAAATAAATAAAGTAAACAATGGAAATGAGTCTTGATCATCAAACCGCTTCGATATATGTGAAAAAGGCATGCGTCTAAATGATGGAGACGATAGTCGAGAATATTTTGAAAACTTATAGTCGGATGAAAATCGAACAAAAACGATACCCTTTTAAACTTTATCAATTCCTCAAGTAAATGTTGGCTGCATAAAATATAATTTGAAACCAGACACATGCATCACCTATTTTCAAAAATGTCTTTCACTTAAAGAATATAAAACACGAACTGTGTAAAGTACTTTTTTTTACGTTTTTATGCGATAAGTAAAATTCGATGTTCTACAAACGGGACCTGTCGTTTTTTCGATAGTAAATGATAAGCAACTTTATATATTAAATATGAAAAACATATGTATTTTTACAGATTCACTTTATGGAAGTAAATATATTGTGTATCTCGTAATTCATAAAGGGAAAGAACATTCTGATTAACAATCTTTTTAATGTTTAGAAAACCTTTAATTCTGAATAACTTCTCCCACCTCAATCCCCATATACCAACTAAGATTATAACACAAATAAATTTTGGTTGAATTTGTGTACCAATTAAAAAAAAGGAATAGAAACGGCCAACTTCAAACGATTTCAATACGATAGGGACATTTTCAATTTTCACAATATATCATCATGAACAGCGATTTTTGATATCTTTAAATATTGAAGTCTTATTAAGACCGCTGCTTTCAATCATGAAAGCAATATAAGAAGCGAAATCAAATGATCAATCTAATATTAAAAAAATTAAGTTCATAAACCCTCTGCTCACTCATATAAAATGTTTCTTTAACTCTTATGATTTTCGAAAAGAAATGTATTTTTTAAGTAAAATACAAACAAATATAGCATAGCTTGCGGGGTAAAATTGGACAAAAAAGACACTTCAACTTGACAAGATTATAAAGAAATAATAGACATTTATGTCATTAAGAGTTATCTTTCTTACCAGAGTATCGATGAACCTTAAATTCAATTTCTTTTTTTCTCGGGAAGGTATGGCCGGGGCAAAAGTTTCTTTGTTTTTTAATTTGCTTTTTTGGCTGACATCGATAAATACATTTAAGACTGAATATGTTACATGGCACTTTATATAAAAAGTACATGTATTTGAAATGTTCTTTTTTTTATGAGTAAACAAAGGTAAGCTGTTCTTTACAGTGTAATGGATATTCTTGAAAATCAAATTATAATCAACATTCATCACATTGAGGTTGAGGGGTGGGGTGGTGAGTGGGTTGGAAGTGGTCTTAATGAAACTTTATTTTGTATTTAAGTGTGTTCTTCGTTAATTTTGCTTTATGTACTCGTATGTCTTTTTTTGCAAAAGAGGTTCGAGTTGACTGTGCATTTAATGTCAATTATTAGTTTTTATATTCATTAAACCCATAATAAATTGTCGTTTTCATTTATATGGGATTTTTATTGCCCTTTCCGCTGCCAATAATTTTGTTTTTTTTACCAAATATTGAATTTTAATCTAGCCCCCCCCCCCCCAATGATTATTTTTTAATTGTTGAATTAGAGAAACAGGAAATAACAGAACAGATCATAATCTACCTAATGTAAAAGAATAAAGATCGTGTTCCTCATTCTGGTCCGAGGAATTCATCAACTCCACGCTAATTGTAAACCTTACGTACTGAGCAGGCGAGGATATTAATTCATTTTTATATGACTGATTAAGTCAAGCTAAAAAACCCCCCAAGGACAATTTTAAGTGTACTCCTCGCTATTTCTTCCTATTTCTTTCATAAAAAGGATTAAAGAATTGGAAACGTTCAGATATCTTTATTCCGGGTAGAGGCGCGGATATAATACACACACTGGATAAAAAAAGAACTTGGGAGATTTTATAAGAATTTATTCCTTGGTAAGTATCGTCTATCTAAAACGTGGAGGCTTTTCAGTTACCAGTATAAATTACAGAATAACTTGCATTCATCTGTCGATTATAAAGGAAACCGTAACTGTACAAAGCCAATTAAATTTTAAAAGCAAAAATCTGAAATTCACTACCTAAGAAAACTAAGAAGATGCTTTAAACTTCAATAGTTTTGAAATTTAATTATTTTTATTATTTAAATTTCTGAAAATTTTGACTACGTACTCAGAGTTTCTTAAACTGTAATATTTAAATGTAGAGTTAACCTATATTTAGTTAAAAGTAAAAATGTAATGATACTGTAATGATACAGCGTCAAACGTGCGCTGGCAAATACTAGATTTTTTTTTTTTCAATCAATAGACAAAGTATCTTAAATCCTCTTATGAACAATATGATGGAATTTGAGGACATAATTTCTCCGGAGATTTTTCATGTTGTAAAACCTGCCAGCTACATTAAATTAATTCCCCTAAAGTTTTCGTCTTATTTGAAAAAAAAAATAAATCCAATGAAAGTGTACATAGAGAAGTTTCTGTGCATAAATTTTTAATCTTTGTGAACGATGTTGTCATGGAACTTTACCAAAGGCAAATAAGCAGTCAATTCTAATGCACTCTTTCACATTGAAATCAAACATATAATAAATGTCTACTTTAAGACACGTAATCATTATTTATTCATCGATTTGCTGATTTCAAACGCGTTACTGCTTTTCCATATTTAATATACATGTACGGTTATTCTTCTGTGACTGAATAGCAGAAATCCTGCTACATATATATAGGCTTTTAACTATCATGCAATTTTTTTTTATCGATTTTTATTTGAATGAAAAGAACCGGGGTTTCCGTCGCTGAATTTTTAAATTCAGAAATATAGATAATCATATAATAGGGAAGGCAAATATTAAGCTTCATTGTTTGTCTTGAACAAATTACATTTATAAGTTTCCTAAATGTTCATTCTTTTCTGAAACCAAAAATCGCTAAATATTCCACAAACTGAAACTAATGTGACTCTTAAGTTGTAGGCCATGGATCTTGCAAAGAGTTTGCTCTTTCTGCATCTTACTAAACTAGAAAAGGTTTAGTACCCATGTTTAGTCCTGGAGAAAAAAACAAAACATGCATAACCAGTTTGCTTTGATTACTAGCAAAACGAAATATATTGTAAGAGTAGTCTTTTCTTGAAGATAGCCTCTCTCTATATGCTGTGATAATCTTTGTTCTCTCTCTCTCTCTCTCTCTCTCTCTCTCCATCTCTCCTTTTTGCTTTAGACTGTTGATTTATTGGGGGGTTTTGGTAACATTATCGATGCCTTCTCATAAATATGTTACAGCTCTGATCAGAAATTCTATATTCGAGAACTTTAAAATGTTATTAGGACTTATAAATTATTCGAATACCCGCTACATGCATCAGATTCTTCTGGTTGACTGAAATCATTTTCAAATTAACGAAAAAAAAAAATCAACGATTTAATTTTTTTTTTTTAAATTTGATGCTTTTTGCTGATCTGAATCCGAAATGGAATATATTTTGTATTTTGTTCACGTTCAATGATCTTTTCTCTCTTTTGCAGTTTTGATTGATACAAACTTTTTATGAATACCCTTAAATACTCTTTTGTATATACATATATACGTAATTTGCAATTTCCATTAGTTATTGTGCATTTATGTGACGAACAAAACAGGCTGCAAAAAACAGTTGTGCAAACCTCATCGCACAAAAGGGGTATATTAGTTTAAACTTTAATAAATCTAGATAATTCTTTATTTATTAACACTTATACAGATGGAGATGTCATATTTTTCACATATATTCTTTTCGGACGTAAATTAGAGAATATATATATATATATATATATATATATATATATATATATATATATATATATATATATATATATATATATATATATATATATATATATATATATATATATATAAGTAACTGCATAAGCCGGGTCTTAATTGATAATAGATGTTTTAAGCTTTATCTTTAAATGCACACACGTTTCTGCACCTTTTAGACAGGATGACGGCCATTGTTCTCAAGTGCCAAGAAAACTGCATCATTCTCCACATCCGGTTAATGGTCGATTACATCGAGGAGTAATTACATGTACTCTAGTTTCATACTACCTTGGAGACACGCTTAACAACTCACTCGCTGCTCAGTTTGAAATTAGAGAACTCAACACTAGGAGAATTTTTAATTGCTGTATCTTGTTATTAGAGTTGAGAGTTACATACCTATATCCTTGGGAAGGTAATTCTTATACTTTATTGTATATTTCCAAAATTAAAAAAAAGAAGTTTTTAAAATGCTATTAAAGCTACGACAATAATGGATGTTGTTTTTTTTATTAACTGTTTGCTTGCTTTATATGTTCTTTGCTGATAAAAATATACTTATTACATCAAGAAGTATTCATGCATGTTCAGTTGAAACAATGTTGCATCATCATTGATTCAAATATTTAAAAAAGGAAAAACATAATATGATTTATTGAGAACAAATGAAATGTTTACGTACGTCAAGTCCATGATTTTGTAAAGTACCTCTTCCCTTCCATTCATCATTGATCAGTATTGTTACAGTAGTACTGCACAATAAGCGTATCTTTATGGTACCTCGCCACAAGATGTTTCATTGTCATAAAACCACCAGCATTCAAATCGTGCAGTTATTTTATGACTTCTGTGGAACTTTATCCAAGTTTTTGTACAGTGATTATTGAAGAATATTTGGATAGGACTTTTCAGCACTATTAGACGATTAAAACACAGGTATGAAATGTCAAAAATGCCTTTTCAACAATCAAAAAATGGGGAAATGCTTTAAAAGCCGTAGAGGGAATAAAAATGATACATGTTAATGTACTAGTATTACAAACACTGATTTTAGCAAGGCCACAAATTGACACATCCTAAAAACAGTAGATTTGTTTATTTAAAAATCTGCTTAAAGCTTTGATTTCTTATATTGTATGTATGATATTTACATGTATATAGGTTTTAGACGTTCACAGAGAGAGAGAGAGAGAGCGAGAGAAAGAGAGCGAGAGACAGAGTTTTTTTTTTAAAGCAGCATATTGGTGATCGCAGCAATCATGGCAAGTTCAATCAATTGATGGCTGTTAAAATGAGTGTTCGTTTTGAGTTTTCTACTGGTTTATCGATATATCTGACATATACGTAACATTAAAAAAATTATCAGACAATATTCAAGCCGAATTGCTAGTATAGACCAAATAAATGTATTGTTTCCAAATAAGAAATGTTAAGTTTTCACCTTTTTAAAAAAATTAAAAGTATCATCACCCGGAAATAGTTTTGCTTGCATTTAGGAAAACTGTTTCGTAGACGACGCAAAAAAAAAAAAAAAAAAAAAATGATGGTGATCTAAAGGCAGTCTTTCATTTCAAGTGAGGCCGCTTTTGAAGTTTTTTTCAACCTTAATTACTGTCATATTCACACGTTCATTTTGACTCTCACTCGTTAGTAAAGGAAATGATATACGCCTTAAGTGATCGATGATGAAAGTGTGAAAGATTATACAATTTTCATACCATGTGATGAAATTCATACCAGATTCTTGAAGAACAGTGTATACAATGTTCATGTTGGACAAACTTTACCGAAGGTAACACCAAAGTCTTTGATTTTGGAGAGAGAAATGGTGGCATTTCCGCAGTGGCTTTTTTTTTCTAATTAGAAAAAAATAAAAAAGATTTTACATCTGACATCAATGCATATACTGTGTCGACGTACATTTTGCCTAAGTATATAATCAGACCTGTTACAGGTTACAAGACGATAAGAAATTGTCAATTATCTTTGTGTTAAACTTCTTAAGAGTGCTTCAATATGTCATAAGTTCAAACTCTAGCTATTTAGTTCAAATTACTTAAAATTTAATAAAATCTGACTGAATACTACAACAAATGAACCACCATCTTACGAAATAGTATTGATTAACTCAGAACTTTAAATTTAAAAAAAAAACTATACAACTGTAAGAAATGTTGAAACAATTGCATTTACCGCTTTTTGATACATAGTTGTTCAACATAACGAAATGGGCGTCGGAACCCCCATCGTCGCAAGCCACGGGTTTTGTGTCCATTCTATTTCCACAAAATAGTTTTTTGCGTTTGTTTCTTTTGGCTCATCTCCCGATCGTGTTAGAAAAAGATTATTTTTTGATTTTTTAGAAAATTTATTTATTTATTTATTTGCAAATTTTAGCTAATGATATATTTATTTACTTATTTATTTACCTATATACTTATTTGCAAGTACTATAAATTACATTTTCTCTCTATTTTGAAATAGGTTAAACAAATCAATGAAGAATTTTCAAAATTAGTAATTTTGTGCTAAGAATTTGTCCAACATCAACAACAAAACTTAGCAGAGTAGGTGAATGTAGCCAGCTACTTTGAATTCTATGGTAAAGAACAATCAATTAAAAAATGCGGGTCACCAAATGAAACTTGATATAAGTTTGAGCACACTTTCAACCAATTTCACTTTCACAAAAAGTCGTTTACAAAATGTGAAGTTCTACAGTAATCGATGAACAGAATGTGTGGGTAGTAGATTACTCTAACTATGTGGGTATAAGGTGCGCGCGCGTTACCCACCATCCGGATCCGTAAATAGTGTACAAGAATCGAGAATTCGCATTTCTGTCTCTGTGAAAAAATGCAATGATTTGTAAAGCTTGAATTCCTTGACAGAAAAGTTGGTCTCTATCTCTTGAATATACTGTCTCTTGATCCGTATTCAAGGTCATGCGGACATATCAACTGCCACGACTATATAGTCCACGACAATAGGATGTGCCGTGACCTCCTAACATTTACCAGTGACTAAGGTCAAATAATGTGCATTGGCAATGCTCGCCATGTCTCACATTTTACAAAGTTAATTATAGAAAATAAAATATACTGGGTATATGATTTGGCGGTAGTGATGTCATAAGGATACATAAAGGAGAGGGCGAATTAAGTTTTTAGAACTTGTGCCCAATCCCATTGTATATATTTATTGCAATAAAATATGTTCAAATCAAGGAAACATCGATACAGCGGTATACGTGAATAATCTGATTGACCTCGATTCCTTTCAGACTATATATCAGCGAGTCCGATATATCCGCCAAGGAAAGATAATATTCCCAACAGGATCTAATTTTCATCAGCACCTATTTTCTTTTCTAAAGTAGTTTTTATCTATTCATATATGTACATGACTTAATTAACAGTCATTTGTTCATCATGTTCATTATCAATAAAACACACGTCTATAAACTTAATAATATTTTCATCACATGCTTGCATGTTTATGATTGTTTTGATTAAGAAGCGTGCATGTTAACACCAAAATTTAATTTCACATAACAACGTGACATGTTAAACAAAGTACTTCTAAAGTTTATACATACATGTAATGTGGTTCAAATGTTGTCAGTAAAATTTGGTACATGTATAGCCTAGAACCAGTCACGCAGGAAGAGAGACCTACTGCGGTTTTTAACAACCTTGTGCACAAACAATGGTTTTATTAGAAAAAAAAAAAACATAAAGACACTTATAAAAGATTAATATTAAATCATATATTTCATGGTATTATATCATACATGTATTTTAGTATTTATAAGTATGTACTGATTGGTATGGGGGTTTTAAGGGAAAAGTCTTATCTTTTGTTTTCAGTGGTCTTTCAATTAATGAAAAATCTTGAAATCTTGGTCGATTATGTATGAAATCAACGTCTGATCTTAGTTGGAATTAATATATTTTATATAGCATCTATATCTACTGTACCCAGACTATTTTGTTTTCTATTTTTAGATGAATAACTGATTTTGCCCGAGTTGGAGGAAAAGACCAGAATGTCGCATTGGAACAAATCCTACTTTTATGGATTTGATGACGAATATGGCTGGGGAAACACAACATACTTCTCATATTTCTCGGAATTTAACCGACCTTGGAGTGGCCTCCCTTACCTGGAAGCATTTGTGTTAATCTTTCTTTTTATGTTCTCCCTTTTGGGGAATTCTTTTGTATTTTATCAAATGATGAAACTTAGGAGTACCCGAACTGTAACCAACTATTTGATTTGCAATTTGGCTGTCGCAGACATCTTTTTCTCTACCGGAAGTCCTCTGATTGCGACTGCGCGCTTGACTGGAACATGGGTTCTTGGATCATTTATTTGTAAAATGTTGGTATATGTGTTGTTTATCTGTGCAGCTGTGATGATCTGGACGATGACAATTATTAGCATTGACAGATATATCTGTATTTTCAAAACATCTGTGAAAAAAGTCACTCCTAAAGTGGCAATGTGTAGCATAGTGATTCTCTGGTTTCTGGCGTTCATGGCCTTTATTCCCCTTGCCATGTATTTCAATTTGAAACGTTTCCCGTTTGGTAACACAAACATAAATATTTGTACACTAATGTGGCCAAATTATCAAACTATTCGCGTTTCATTGATATTCACGGTCTGTATCTGCATTATTGGATTTGTGGTTCCACTTGGAATCTTGGTGTTTAATTATTTCAGGATTTTGAAAAAATTCAGAAAATCCAGAAATGCTGTAACGACAATAGCCACGAATAACACAACAAAATCCATAAAATCTCGAGAGCAACGAGATGTCAGACTAGTGAAGAACTTAATTTTGCTCGTTGTTTTGTTTCTTGTGATGTGGCTTCCGATTTTTATCGTGTTTGTGTTGCTTCAGGCTTACGGCATGGATGATGAAATGGAGGTTTCATCACAGACCTTCATTGGGGCCTTATGTGTTGCTCTTGGAAACGCTTGTGTGAATCCATTTTTGTATGGCATTATGAATGAAAAAGTAAAACGTGGAATTCTTAGATCTATCTGTTTTCGAAGAAAGAAGATGAAAATATCAACCATTGACACCAAAACTGAAAGCAAACTAGCTAATAATGGACAGAGCATGACATCGAGTACTTGAAATTAAAAAAAATGAATTCATTATCTAGTATAATTGGAGAAGAACACAGTGTAACTAAAATCATGTCAGATTCTTCAAAATGATATGCATGCGATTCACGTTGCTTTTCTGACTTGATGTGTTGTTTTATTGAGAATTGTATTTATTTTATCATCTAATTTATTGACATTTTTCTTGTTTTACCGACCATGGGAAGGTTGATGAGATAATGACGCTCAAATTTACTGCAAGTCTATGTTGAGAGTTCTTTTCAACAGAAAACGTTAATATATATTTTTGAATTTATTACTTTCACTTGGAAAAAAGAGTATAACATTTTATAAGACAAGTATTTCTGAAGAAAAAAAAAATATAGGTACAATATTGTTTTCCTTAAACAAACCTTTACAGAAATTCACTAGAACTCACTTAAAATAAGCTTTTAATTATTGATTTGAATTACTTATACACGCTGATACTTTATTTTGACACTTTGGATTACTATGAAACTTCATTCTTGAAGTTATTGAGGTACATATGTAATCTCTTCAATTTCAGTGATTATAAACTTGGGAAATGCATGTATTATTTGAATATGCAAATAATTTTGCCTTTGAAATAAAAAAATGCTACATAACAATCATAACAGTTTGAATTTTAGAGTATTTTAAATATTGTTTTATTCATGATTGTTGTAATTACCTTGATGTTCTTAGGTAAAAACTAACTTTTATGCCGTAAAAAATCTACTTTACAGTGAAATATTAACTTTTTTTGTTAGGGGGAGGTATGTTACAACTCAAAAAGTAATAAGGACGCAAAGTATAATAAACTGGGATTATTACATTTAATTTTACGTTTTCCGTCAAAACTAACGCAAAATGTTATAACACTTAATGGATGTAATACATGTTTTTTTTTACAATTATGAACTCTTCATGTGGCTATGGCCTGATATTCACCAGAATATATCAGTTTTAATTTATATTTTTCAGGTGAATACCATATCAACCACCCAAAGAGTACATAATCCAAGTTTATTACATTTTTTTTTTCTTGGTTACTGCATATAGAGGTACACGGTTGTAAGTTAGTTTCTGTGTGAATCTGTTAGTATAAAATTGGAAATACAGGTAATATGACGCCTATATCTTTCTCTTCTTTTCTGTGATTTTGTGTCAAGTGTATGTTTTGGCAAATATTATTAATACATCTATAAATAAAAAAATACAAGTATTCTCGTGTGAAAGGAGAAAACTGGTAAGGACCTTGAGATTTAGAGGCGCCCAGACACGCTGTAATTAACATTAGTGGGATTCCATCAGACGTTAAGTTTCACTAAATGAAATATATCAGAGATTACGTGACTATTTTAGTTGTACGACCATTTAATTCTGATTGGGGGGGATTTTAGGGATTTTTCTATGGATAGTCTACCTCTTAGGGTATGGGTGGATCCATTTTAGAGGGATGGGGTTTAACTTTTCCTCCAAATGGTTAATTACTTCCACTACGAAGAAAGGCCGGTCTATTGAGAAATACAGAATTCTCCGAATTTTAACTTTTTAAACTTAAGATTTTTTTTTGTAGCCCTTCTTTCTGCAGACTCTTTTGGGATTTTTTGGCACTTAAACCAAAATCAAATAATCTCTGGTGTAAATAAATAATCTGGGTCAACCAAGCTTATATTAGTACTCAAACACATGTCAGATACATGTAAGAAACATGACATGCATGCAGCAAGTGTATTCCGACTGAATTTAATTAATTATCTTCATTTTTTAATGTCAACCCAGAAATGACAATCCATGCTAGATAAATGTACCCTAAATCATGTCTTTGTGGAATAAAACAATTTTTAAAAAAGACATGTATGCAAAAGACAAGACAAGAGTCTAAAATGTCATGATTTTATCACTAGTTTTTTTTGTTTTAACAGGGACCTACGTACTATATATAGCTTCTCTAACCCAACGTACACTGTACAAGTGTAGTTACAAGATGATATCACAAAACATGCATACTGAACAGACTTTTCATTCTAACAAATAAATAAATAAATGAAATAATAATAATAAACAAGAGGCCCAAGGGCCTTAATTAACGGTCACCTGAGTATAATATAACAATGTAATGGATCCATAGAAGTATAAAATAAACTGATAGGTGAAGCTTTGTTGCCCAAGAGCAAGAGAAATAGAATGATCAGGATCAAGTATCATTAACAGCTAATAAACATGATAAAGTAATTAAGTTCTTGCCCCCATTTATCACAATCATCATGCAGATTAATGCTTCTATATCATGTTTTTAATAACATATTTTTGTCTCATTTTTATTTATCAATTAATTACAAATCTACATGATCATTTAAACAGTGAAAGTACTTTTTGGATTATACAACAAAAATTCTTGCATAATTCTCTTATTCTGCTAACCTTTTAAATACAACATTTACAGTGATTAATTATCAGATTGATAAAGAGTGTGATATTGAGTGTGAATGGCAAAGGGAAATAACTTCTCTCAGTAGCATACAAATGAATAGATCTCTGGCCAGCACCAGAACACTTGACCAAATGGTCCAGAATTTCAAAAATTCAGTAAAAATACCCTTGCTTATTAATTTTTTTTACTTTGCTTGCCTCAGATGTCCAGGGACAGAGTAGATTTTCAAAGAAATAAAAAATGCATTTTTCTTACTGATTCAACACAGCCCCATCCTAACACCAGAACTCATGATTCAGGATCATGAAATTATACAATTTGGAATTCGAAGATGTACCCTCACTCATCAAAACTATGTTGAAGATTTTCAAAGAATTAAAGAATGACACATTTTTAATAGATAATCAATAGAGCCACCCCTCCCATCTAACACCAGAACCCCTGGCCCAGGGACCACAAGTTTTAAAATTTGCTCATCATAATTTTGCACTTGTTTATTCTCTCAATACCTAAAGCAGACAAGATTATTTAATAGAACTAATATATTTTGACAATATTATCAATAGATCCTCACCTTACACCAGAATATCTAACCAAGGGACCATGAAACACAATTCTGGAAGAAGCATTCTTGCTCGCCATAACTATACACTTAGTTTCTTTGCTTTATAAACAGGTCCAGAAAAAAATATTTTAAAGAAATTATTCATCTTTACTATATAATCAATAGAGCACCCAACCCCCCCTCCCCACTGAAGCCCCTGACCCTGTGGCCATAAATTTCGCAAAATTTTAAAGATCGAGGCATCCTTGCTCATCATAACTATACACTTAGTTTGTTTACATAATACCCAGAAGCAGAGAAGAAGATTTTCAAAGAATTAATGCACTTTCACTATATAATCAATAGAGCCCCGCCCTAACACTAGAATCCCTGAACCAGGGGCCATGAAATTCCCAATTTTCTTAGAGGCACCCTTCCTCATTATAACTATGCATTTAGTTTGTTTGCTTTTGCTTAATACCCAGGAGCAGAGGAGAAGATTTTTAAAGAAATAATGCATTTTCACTACATGTATATATTCAACAGAGCCCGCCCTAGCACCAGAACCCCTAACCCTAGGACCATGAATTTTACAATTTTGGGAGAGGGCTCAATGCTTATTACATTCTTGCCAACAGTTTCACTGCTTGATGTCCAGGAGTAAAGAAGAAGATTTTTAAAGATTGCATTATTTTTAGTGGTTTTGGCCCCAACCCTCAGGCCCCAGGGTGAGGGCAGGGACCATGAAAATTCACAATTTTTGTTTTCCTTCTCCCATAGATGCTATATGCAAAAATTGGTTGAAATTGGTTGAGCAGTTTCAGAGAAGAAGCTGAAATATTCAATCGTTAATGCACAACGCAGGATGCACGACGACAGACAAAAACAGATAGTAATAGGTCACCCGGGTTTACTCAGGTGACCTAAAATCACTATATACATCTATATGAAATTTCTAATTTTTTCCCGACGACATCGATCATAGTTCCAGGTAAAAAAAAAATAATGCAGAGTTTGTGAAGTTCGTGATTTCGTAGAATAAATTTTACACCATCGATCTTTGTTGCATTTTTTGTTTGATAAATTTCGAATATGGTACAATATAATTTACATATCCATTATTCAACAGGAAATTAAGAAGTCACTTGAAGCGCATCCTTTGTTATATAATTGATTGCCTATAAAATAATCATATTAATTTCTAAACACTACTGAAAAATATAAATAACAAAATAAAATAAAAAATATGAATTTTAATATGAATTTGATATAAAAACTATATCGAATAAAGGTGCAAATATTGAGTTCAACTAGCTCATTTTCAACATGAGATACTTGCCATAAATATACCTCATACATGGCCCGAATGTTGTCAATTCCTATGAAATGCAATTTTAAGTTGCTAAAAGTAAAAGCAATTCGGAATACAAACTTAAAAAATATCGATTTGTTCGGTTTTTTTTTTTTTTTTTGGTTATGTTTTGTTTGTTGTTTTTTTTTTTTAAAGTGCAAATTGCTCCGAAACCTACGCGCGTGGGTAACGTTAAACACAGAATTAACTTTGGACAGCCAAAATAAAATTTTGAGAAAATACCAGCGAAAAATACCCTTTTGTTAATTTTCTTTGAATAATACCATGATTTGAATCTTCATTTGATATCTGTTCAAAATCCATGGTAATGAATGCTGATTCTTTGATGTAGGGTAACGTAGTCAGCCGAGGTGAGCCGAATGTTTCTATAGCATCAGATTGACCAAGCGACCGAATCACAAAAGGCTGTTGGTAGTACAGTGAGAACCCCCCCCCCCCCAGAAGTCCGGCTCTAGAGTGAGACATCCCCCTTGGGGGAATTACGGGAGGACCCATGCAAGGGAAGTTTTACTCTAGAGCCACACTTCCCTGCAGGAATACTCTACTACTAGTTTTCCCCAAAGCAGATCTTGCAATGAAATTTTTATATCATTTTTATGTCCCCGTATCGAAGATTCGGGGATATATAGTTTTTGCCCTGTCCGTCCGTCTGTCTGTCTGTCTGTTTATCCGCAAAAAAACTTTAACCTTGCCCATAACTTTGGATTGGTTGGAGCTATGGCTTTCATATTTCACATGTGCATTCCTTGTGACAAGACCTTTCTTTGAGTACCACCATATTTGACCTTTTGACCTTGACCTCGGAGTTTGACCCACTTTTGCAAAATTTTGTGAGACTTTAACCTTGGCCATAACTTTTGAACAGTTGGAGCTTAGGCTTTCAAACTTCACAAGTGTATTTCTTGTGACAAGACCTTAATTCGTGTACCAACATCCTTGACCCTTTGACCTTGACCTTGGAGTTTGACCTACTGTTGATAAAACTTTAACCTTGGCCATAACTTTTAAACAATTTGAGTTCACATGTATACTCTTTGTGAAAATACATTTCTTTGAATATCAACAACTTTGACCTTTTGACCTTGACCTTGGAGTTTGACCTACTTCAATTTTGAAAAATTTTAATCTTGAACATAACTTTTGAACAGTTAATGACAGGGTTTTCATACTTTACATATGCATTTCTTTTGAGAAGACCTTTCTTTAGATACCAACAACTTTGACCCTTTGACCTTGACTTTGGAGTTTGACCTACTTTTGAAAAACTTTAACCTTGGCCATAACTTTTGAACAGTTGGTGTTAGTGCTTTCATACTTCACATGTATATTTCTTGTGACAAGACCTTCCTTAAGATACCAACAATTTTGGTATTGACCTTGACATTGGAGTTTGACCTACTTTTAAAAAATTAAACCTTGGCCATAACATTTGAAAGTTTGGTTCTACGGCTTTCACATTTCATGATCATGTGTATCACTTGTGACAAGACCTTCCCTTGGGCACCATTGACCTTGACCTTGCCGTTTTACTTACTTTGAAAAAACTTTAACCCTCACCATAATTGTTCAACGGTTTGTACTAGGGCTTTCATATTTCACAGGTATATTTCTCGAGACAAGACCTTTCTTTGGGTACCAACATTTTTGATTTCTTGACCTGGAGTTTGACTTGCATTTGAGAAACTTTAACCTTCGCCATAAGCTGCCATACGGGGGCATCAGTGTTTCACAAACACATCTTGTTTTATAGGACTTAGATAAGTACACATATGTCTACCATAGTATGAAATAAAAGTTGATAAGACAGCATGAACATTACTTTTGTGTAAGTTAATATTTCTTTTAAAACAAGATGTGTTTGTGAAACACTGATGCCTCCATATGGCAGCTTATGACGAAGGTTAATGTTTCATAAATGCAAATTCCAGAGCAAGGGGGGGGGGGTCATTTCGGTCCAGTTTTACTATATATGCGAGTTCAATAAAACAGGAAACTCTGGGGGAAGGAGAAAAATTGCTAGCCCTTGCTGGATTAATTTGCTCTTATGAAAATGATTTATTTTTACTAATTTTAATTTTATAACTTTTTTTTTTATTTTGGCATGTATGAGGAAGAAACAAGATCTATATTATATACGTGTACTTCATCGATAGATTCAGTTTCTGAGATCCAGATGGGAATTATCTAGTCAGATTTTTGTTTTTGTTTATTGGGGTTTTTTTTTTTTTGTTTGTTAGGTTTTTTGTTTTTGTTTGTTTGTTTGCTTGTTTGTTTTTGTTTGTTTTTTTCTTCGATCCAGCTTTGGATTTTTCATTGTTTTTATTTTACAAAACTGTCATGGTGTTTACTACATAATATAAATATACAAATTCCTGGAAATTTGGAGTTTCTTTTTTTTAACTGTAAAATCTCATTATTGATAAACAAATTAATTACAATAAATGACTTAGACAAACGATAGATCGAACGTACAAATTAACAAATACCGGCTTTTTACTCTTTGGTAAAAGAAGTTAGAAATAACGTGCTACTTTCATTTTCCCAAAAGTGGGTTGGTCTTTGTCATATTTAAATATATTTGTTTAAATTTCTCAACTGTCGATTTACCAACATTAATTATTATCAATACAGTGATAAAATGTACATCATTATTGTATTTTTGTATAATCTTTTATACAGAAATTGTAATTCTTGAAAAAGTATATAGAATTTAGGAGGAAACTCGAACTGTAAAGACCAGGGTCGGGTTTCACAAAACTATCGTAAGATTTGTCCTAAGATAGATCTTACGAACGTCTTAAGATCTGACTTATGACAATCATATGATTTGTCACTGCTGTTTCACAAAACTATCTTAAGTATAAGAAATCTTAAGACAAGTCTGAAGACAGATTCCATTCTTCAATATTACAGGGAAATATTTAAAAATATGCTTGTACGAAGTTTAGTTGTCTTTCTTAAATTTTCTTTGAAATATTGAAATAATAGTGTGTCATAAAAACTAAATTTGAATTAATTTCATCCCAAAAAAAAATCATTGAATAAAATTTGCTTAAATGTCTTTTTGCTCAGAAAATAGTAGTTGCTGACGAAATGTATGTGATACTACTTTTAATTAAATCTACTGGTGTATCTGAACATTTGCAAATAATGAATGATTTTAGCAATGAATCCTTTTGAAACACCAAATCATGTTCAAATTTCTTTTATAAAATTGGATGAAAAAAAAAAATATATATATATATATATCACCACAATGTAACAAAATGAATTAAAGTAGCTACTCAGAAGTTCGATTTTTTTTATTTTTACTTTCATGGGCGGGACTCATCCAATCCATAAAAATGCTTATATTTCGTATTTTTTTTATTTATTCAAAATATATTTACTTAACATATCAATAAATAAACTACATGTATCTCAAATTAAGTTAGCCATTTTAAAAACTGCATAAGTTTGCAGCGCTTGGTCATAGAAATTGTGATGTTCTTGCGGGGTATTGAATTCAATATTAAACAATTTTGAATAAAGTTATATATGATATCTGGATCTTACATACATGTACATATACATGTATACATAAAATATGTACATATATACATGGCCTTAAGAAGCAATTTCGGGGAGGGGGCACAATAAAAAAAGGAAAATGCCTTGAAATGAATAAAGTGGCACAAACATAAAGAAGGTTCAGTTTATGTTTTCTATCATATATTTATTGGCAAATTATATTTTTTTAGGGGGGGGGGATCATAGTTCCGACTGGCCTGATCGATATAGTCCAAAGGATTGTTCTATCTCTAAAAACCGTTTTAGAGGGTTTTTTTGGTTTTTAGGCGAAAGATATACTGTCGCCAGTTTCACTTTAGACTTAAGACAAGTATCTAGTTGTCTTAAGATTAAGATAGATCTTAAGATTATCATAAGATATGACAGTTTTGTGAAACGGCTATGGTGCAATCTTAAGATAATTTTCGGTCTTAAGACAGATCTTAGTCATAAGATAGTTTTGTAAAACGGGCCCCAGTTTTCTACATAAAGACCAATTTTAAAGGACAGCTTGTTAGAAAAATATATTTTTGACTGCATGTGTTCTGTATAGATAAAGAATATTGATTTGTGGTAAGGGTTCAAGTATTTAAAAATTTTGTACAGGTATGGACAGTGATTGTTATAGTTTGTGCGAAAAACTCGTGCCCAAGAGCTACATCCAACAAGGTAGAAATGCAAAGACAGTCCATCAGAGTAAAATCAAACATTTACTAGAACAGGTAAAGTGTAATATTGATATTTTATCTTACAGTGTGTTCTCTGTTTATACAAGAAAATAGTCAGGAATTCTAAATATCTGACGTTTTCCAGGCGTTTGTATTTTACGTGCTAGGAAAACGTCAGAACTGGCGCCATTACGAAAAGTGGAAAATAAATTTTTTAATCCCCGAAAATGTGTTTTGTTTAATAGTTAAATGTTGTATAATTGATCCAAAAAATTTCTTTTACTACTATATTTACCTAATAAAAGAGGGGTATGTAATAAATTTATCATTATATCAGTAACTTGATCTGAAAAGCAGTCGACAACCGTGGATCATTAGATCAAACAAGACAGTGTTTTGTTTAAACTGATGATCAACGCCTGGCAACTCAACATGATCTGGCTCTTCAAAAGTAATTTATCCAACATTACCATGATTATCAAAAATTGAACATGATATAATGCATGTACCATGATAAATATTTTGTAGAGAAGAATTCCTGATGAGGGCTGGGAAGATCAGACAATAGAGTTGTTCCTCAGTGAGCTGGCCATAATGGACAGTAATAACTTTCCTGACAACTGTGGAGTAGGGGAGAGAGAAGCAAGAATTTTTTCTTCACTCGTTAGCAGACGTCATTTCAGGTCAGAAGAAAGTGCATATATATCATGTATATTAATATTTACATTACATTTTCTTGATCAAGGGTGCTAAAAATTCATTCTGAACAGAATCTTCCACAATTTTTTTTATTTTATTATTTTTTCTCAGTGAACTGGTTGAATGTTTGTTATTAAATTGCCCTTTCAGAAAAACAAATATCCAGGGAAAAGCTGGCAATTCCTTGATTAACATCTTTAAAAGACTGATTGGTATTTTTACAAACTTTTAAGATTACTTTAGAAATAGATATTCTAATAAATTTTAGACTTGGTCATGGAATAGGCAGATCAGGAGAGATAACTGCTGTTCAACCCAAGGCAGCTGGATCCAGCTTGTTAATGACACTGACAAACAGCCTGGCTCTTCATGCCATAAAACTTTCAGGTAATATTCTTGTATAGTGTGAAATCACTATTTTTCCCTGGGGTTTAATTTCATTGTTTTCGGGGTATGAAGAGATCCACAAATTCATGACCACCATGAAATGTAAAATTTCATATATATACATGTATATAACTACTCATAAATTCTTCATCCACGAATTCAAATCTCCACAAACCTATATTTTGTCCTCAAACTGTGAAAATTTGTCCCCACAGAAATATGTGATTTTACAGTATAGGATATGCAGTACATGTATATGTGTAAAAGTTTAGATATTTTTATCATCATTATGCCCAATACCTTAAGCTTAGTTAATTTAAGGGTATATTCATGTACAAGTACTACTACATGTACCATTCAAAGATTTTTGTCCAACAGGAAATCTCATAAAAATCAGTTCATGAACATGAATCTGCAAAAATAATTTGAAAATAAACCCTTAATTGTCTTTTTTATGCCAAAATATCTTCATACAATGAATTTACTTAATTTATGAATGATAAGTGAAAAGTGAATTCTAAGTTATTATTTATTTTTTTGCATATACGTACTTAAGGCCACACAGTCTTTTATGGCCATGCATTATATATACGTGGCAGTCAGGTTTGATCACCAGGGTCAGATAGCTGATTTGGTACAGCACCTGATTAGTGATTCAGGGGGCCCGGGTTCAAATTCTGGTCTGGTCCTCCTTCACCGGTTACATATACATGTAAATTGAATCAGCTATTCTCCAAAGGTTTCATCTTATGAAAGGATTAAAATGTACAGTACATTTGTATTTCATTTTGTTTGATGTTAAGAGAAATTTTATGAATGAATCACAAATGTATGTAAATAATTATCCTTTTTTTTTTCTAATTCAGGGATTCAAGCTAGCAGTTGTTTTGTTGTTCCAATGGCAACTGGAATGAGTATAGCATTGAGCCTTCTTGCACTAAAACAAAAGAGACCAAATGCCAAATATGTGTTATGGCCTCGTATTGACCAAAAATCTTGCATCAAATCAATCGTTACTTCAGGTTTGTATCAGTTATTTTAAACTTAACAGGAGCGCAGTATTGTAGACATTGTATACAATGTATATTTGTGTATATTGTTCATCACACATTTCTTTTCTTTACGCACAAGGGATATTTCCAATTTGCCTAAACATTTTACTTATTAGAGTTGTATTGCTCAAAGTGTCTGACATGTGGGGATATTTTTACTCAGATTGTTCACATTTATTAGGTGTTATAAAAAATCTAAGCAAAAATTCAATGTTTTCAGAACAGATTTTTGGACTAAGTTGATGCGAACTATTTACATATATTAAAATAAAATGTGATGATTCAGCTTATGGAGTTTAAAACTGCTAGATGCACCACTCGCAAAATATAATTTCTCTCTTTTATCTTTACATTGCTGAAATACATGTAAAAGGTCTTGATCAAAAGAGCACTTGTGAATTTATGTTCTCACGAGTTGATGTCTACGAATCATTTTGTGATATAAGTAACCATGTAAATTAAGGAATCTTTGGTATTTTTTGATGGCCATACATGTTTTCCAGTTTGCTGTGACTTAATTTTCCCCTCAGTCAGTGAGACTTGCATGTACATTTACATACTCAGAGATGAAGTCTAGTTGGATTGTAATTTTTGTCATTTGAATACTAATACAAATACACAGTTATCCCCAAGAATTGAAATAGCAGGGGACATTAAAAAAGTAGAAGGGGGTCCCCTAACAGTGGGTTGAGCATTGAGGGGGGATACCAGAATAACTGGGGAATGACATCATTATAGGCAGGGAAATTCCCAACCCCCGAGTCTTAGGGACAACTCTGAAAATAATACAACCACCTAGAAGCATATATTTGAAGAAATGTGCTAAAATGTATTGGCTATCTTCTATCAGGCAAGAGTTTTGGCCTATGGCCCTCATGTTTCAGATATTTAGTCAAAACATTTGTTTAAATCTGTCTCCAAGAAGCTAAAAAAAGAAACAATATTATTTAGGTTTTGAGCTGGTAGTAATTGAAAATGTGAGAGATGGAGATGAACTCAAGACAAATTTAGAAGAAATCCAGAAAAAAATCCAGGAGCTGGGGCCTAGCAATATCCTGTGTATTCTGACTACCACCAGTTGTTTTGCACCAAGAATTCCAGACAAGTTGGTCACTTTCATTATATAAATAAGAAAAAATATTCTATTTGAAGGGTTTTGAGAATATTAGGAATTTTACTTATTAAAAGACTGTCTTAATAGTAAACTCTTTGAGGCAACTGATATACTGTTAATGTATTGTTCAGTCAAACCTCATTATCTCGAACTCGATGGGACTGAGGAAAAAAACTTCTGATTGAGATATCCAAAGATTTGAGATATCCAGGGTAAAATACTTAAAGATTAAGGGATTGGGACTTCCAAATCACTTCGACATATCCACTGTATTCGAGATATCAGTGTTCGAGATACTGAAGTTCAACTGAATTTAATGTGTACAATTTTCGAACAAGTTAGCATAGTTTATGGTCATTCTGATATTTGCAAGCAATGTATTGTGAAGTTTTTATCATCTTTATTACAGGTTAGAGGAAGTAGGAGAGATGTGTAAGACACAAGACATTCCACATGTAGTGAACAATGCATACGGTCTACAGTGTTCCAAGTGTACCCACCTCATACAACAGGTATCTGTACAGTTAATATTTGGACTGCATTTCCTTATATACTAAGAAACACTTGTACAGCTTTGAGGTACTGGGTAACTTTTTTTTTTTTGAAACTCAGGTTGCTGTCCAAAATTACACCTAGCATTTGTTATTATTTATGTGTCATTGTCTAAGTGTTGAATTTGTTAAAAGACTGGAAAAAGCAGCTAGAGCAGAGAAAATAATACTGTATGCAGTAACTCACCATTGTATAAAGTTAGATACTTATCAGCTGTAGCCAAAAGGATAATACACAGATGGATTTCCATCATAACAATTTTATACATTCTGATAATGATGATTTACATTATACATGTATTTTAACACTTTTAGGCATCCCGATCCAGAGTAGACATTTTTGTCCAAAGCACAGATAAGAATTTCATGGTTCCAGTGGGAGGATCAATCATTGCAGGATTTGATGATCAACTCATCCGTCACATCAGCAAGTGTTACCCAGGTATATAAGCACTTAATCCCTAGCACAAGGCATGTAACAAATCATTAATATTGGAGTCCACTTTTCATTTTCTCAGAGTCAATTGTCATGTAAGTGAAAGAAATCGATCTCTGAAGATTTCTTAAAATATAAGTGCCTTGAAACAAAGACTACATTTTTATAGGGCCATGACCTTTATTTCTATGGGCATTAGTCTATTTATAGGTAGGGCCTCATCTTCTCCCTCCACAGACCTCCTAATCACCCTCCTCAGTATGGGGGTCCAGGGATACAAGGACCTCCTAAAAGAGAGGAAAACAAACTACAAAACTTTGCAAATGAGGCTCAGTGAATGTGCTCAGAGGCATGGGGAACATCTGCTTGCAACATCTCACAATGGGATTTCAATGGGTGAGCAAAATGCAGCTCTAATTACCCCTGTACTGAATGCTGCTGAGAACATTTTTGATATAAATGTTATTTTTTTCTTTTGTATACAGTGTACAGTAAAACACGCTTATAACTAACACACTTATAGCAAATATGCTTATAATGAATTGACGCTTACAGTGAAGGGATTTTCATTCCCTGTGGCTTTAAAATATATTGTGAATTTAACAGATATAACAAATAACGTTTATAATGAAGCAAAGTCATCCATCTCTTGCACTTCGTTATAAGCATATTTTACTGTATTTGTTTGTCCACAAAATATCTTATATGTATGTTAATGGAATTTTACAAAGAAAGAATGCCAAGGGAAGAATATAAATAGAGACTTTAATAACTCAAAAAAATGTAAGCAATTTTTACTTGAATTCTTATGTCATTTGACAGGATTTATATATAGAAGGATTTACACTTATACATGTATATATTGAAATTCTTTTTATGTGGATAAGTAAATCAATTAATTTGAATAATCATTTTAAAAAAAAGATAATTATTGCAACTGTTAAATATACTGTTTTTGTGCTTTACAAATGTGTTTTAAAAGTGTAACTTTACGTGCCCCTCTCTGCAGGATGTAAGTATTGAGTTTTAAATTAACGACTCTTTATCAGTAATATCAAGAACACATGGTTATCTCCCTTTGAGATAAATGTATTTTACCACTTGTATTTGACCAAAATGACCTTCGTTTTCAGGTATGAGCTTATCAACATTCCAGTGCAATGAGGAGAGTGTCACAGACTTGGGATCCAAACTGTTCACAAGACTTGTGTCAGGAACAAGGTATGTCATTATTCTCTATATTATGCAATCGGAAGGTCAAAAAGGGGATATGTACTTTAACAGTTGTAGGAAGTCTAAAAGTTCTCAAAAGTTTGGAATAATTAATACATTTTGGGTGGGCTAGAAGATGAAAATAGACTTTTTTGTAGTTGAAATTCTATCTGTATGTTTTCGGATTGTGAAAGGGTTGGTATGCCCCTCTTTGATATATAAACGTCTTTATTATTAGTCGGATTAGACACAGATTCTCAATGAGTTAAATCATTTTTTCAAAGGTAGTAAAGGATCTCTATAATGAGCTAGCTGTTAAATATCAATGGACTAATTACTCTGATGTAAGGTTTGCCAAAAACAGAGACATAAGATAACATTGCTACTGCCTTTACCCACCCTTATTGTGAAGTTTTTGTTGACAGCTGAGTTTTCTTGATGTCCGTTTTTCTTCTTTTTCCAAAGATATGGATTGGTAATCCTTGAAATATGTAAACTATTTCGAAAATCATGTAAATAATTAAACACATGACTTTTTAGGAAAAGTTGTTACCTTATTACAAAATTGACAATACCTGCCAGCAAATTATTTTTTTTTTTAACTTGAAAACTGACTACAGTAAAACTTCATTATAAGGAACTCAATTATAAGGAAATCTGAGTTATAAAGACCTTTTTACAAATCCCATAGAAGACTTACACTGTGCTTCTTACATGGATATTAAGAATAAGGAAGCAAAATTCGAGGTCATATAGACTTCCTTATAACAGAGTTGTAATGTAGCTGATTTATTTCTTCTCTTATTACCGGTAAAATCTGAGGACATTGTAACGAGATAAATAATTCACAGCACAACATAATAAATATTCTTCCTTCAGCCTTAGATAAAGCTGTGCAGAAAATCATAATTAAACAGTAAAGTGATAAGGAAGGAGAGTTTCTTTTTACACAGTCTTTTCAAATAGCACATGAATGGAAGAATGATAATACTATTTTATGTAAGGTTCAAATTCAATATATGTTAATCATTTCACATTCTACAATAAATTCTCGTAATCACTATCATCATTAGGGTGATTCCTGCAGATGGGAAGAAGAGTGAGATTTGTGGGCAGACCTTCACAAGTTTTGGTGCCCACTGTGATGACTATGGGTCACCATATTTGACTGCAGCAGCAGCCATTGGAATGACGTCTCGTGACGTGGACTTGTTTATTACAAGACTAGATAAAGTGCTATCCAAATGTGCCAAAACCAAACAGTCTAGTCAAAAAGAATCTTCAGCTATGATTTAAATATGGATACGAATATGGAATATTCATTTTGATTATAATGAATAGTTTGTGGTTTTAATTTCAAAGACAAGCAGGCTGTGTTGGAACTAAACTGGTCTGAACATCACAAGTATCCTTTCACATTTTGTTTTTAGTGTAGAAATTTCATCTAAAAACAAGCATTCTGTGAGTTGTGTGTAAACAACCCTGAGCCCCCTACTGGTACGTGCTGTAATTCTGTTAAAAGTTATAAAAGTGAAAGAAAACAAGATCTTTATCTGTAAATCATCAATATAGAAATTTCATGGCAAATAAATAAGTGCGATATATGCAAGTGTCTAGAAAAAATTCTGAAAGGAAGGGGGCAGAGACTGACTGACAGACAGAGGGAGAGACAGACTTACAGCTATAGAGGAAACCTATAGTTTTACTGATGGGGGCACATAATTGTTTATACATGTATCTGTAAAGATCTGAAGTTAAGAATAACTTGGAGTTAAATTATGATAAGCACAGACCATTGTTATGCCAAGACTGGGCAGAACAAATGAAACATAATTAGATTATATTTGTTAGAAGATAAAAAACAAACGGAATTAGGAAATGGATAACATAAGGTGAATGAGAAATCAAGGGGTTAATATGTTACAATGTGATTGAATTTGATATAGAAAGCACAAAGAAATTCACTTTTACAAGGATACCCACTCCCCCCCCCCCCCCCCAACCCGGGGCCTAGGTGGCCGAGTGGTCTAGCACGCTGTTCCTGTACTGCTAGGAGACAGATTTTGTAGGTCGAGAGTTCATCCCCGGGTTGGGGCGGAAGTGGGTATCCTTGTAAAAGTGAATTTCTTTGTGCTCTCTATATTAATATTTCTTCACTTAGGGCAGTTATGTTATTTTTAGAATTGTTGTAAAATGTGCTTTATAAATAAAATTAATTCATTACAATGTGTATCGGTAACGATCTAAATAAAATTAAATAAATAAAATAAAAGTAATGTACAAATAACTGTATCTCACTTCCACTCTCAATGACCGTGTAGTGTAGGATAATCTCAGCGAGATCCGTAGAGACTAAAAAATTTGGTCTGGTGTCTCTACGGATCTCAGACCAGTGTCACATAATCTCATTCGGGGTTTCGTGCCCGGACTTCGACCGCTTGTTTCGATTAATACGGGCTGAAATGAATTAGCTGTCCGCTATACGAATTAGCTATACGATATGTTTTTTTTTAAACTTATTAAAATGATTGGGGGGGGGGGGGGGCACACGCTGCCGTTATAATGTTAAATATTTGAATATACTTTTGTACCAACTATCAAAGTGTCTTTAAAATATGTAAAAGAATATTAATTTTAAGAGTAGTGTCCAAACATGTCACGGCTATAATGGGTACATGGTATGAGATCAAGTCCAATTAATAATTTTACAAAGAAAGCGCAGTATAGCAAGATAAATCTATTACAAAAACAACACATTAATTGACAAATAATTCTCGCGGAAGTAAAGCATTTCTAATTACTGTACTTTCTACATGTAAAGTCAGCAGTTTTTAATGAGGAAAATTATCTTATCGACTCTGTCTGAGGAAAGACGGTTTCTCAATTTTAGGATGAAAATTCCATCTCTTTAACACACTTTTTTATTGAATTTATTTATTCGAATGTCTTTTCGTTATTTGATCGTCGGTCCATTCGACTGATAGTCGAATAGTCGACTATTCGTTGACATCCCTAATATATATATATATATATATATATATATATATATATATATATATATATATATATATATATATATATATATAGATAGATAGATAGATAGATAGATAACGATCCTCTAATAAAACTAATGTTCAAATGGCTGTATCTCACTTCCATTCTCAATGACCGTGTAGTGCAGGGTGCCGCCGCGAGAATTTCGGCATCGAAAACTAGTTTTTTAACTTGGCTGGATGGCCGAGTGGTCTAGCGCGCTATACTGTTAGGAGACAGATTCCGTAGGTCGAGAGTTCAACACTCTGTTGGGGCAGAAGTGAGAAGCCTTATATAGTGAATTTCTCTATATAATCTCTCTCTCTCTCTCTCTCTCTCTCTCTATCTGTCTTTAAATTATTCATATAAAGTGGAAGGAAGTATGCAAAATATTGTATGAATGATATGTACCGGTATGTTACATGAAACAATTGCTTCAGAAAAAGTATCATTGCCTTGTTATTAACACCCAGACATTGCATACATGTGCAATTACTTGTAAAATGTTTTCCTATCTATATGCATTTTCAAGTCAATACTTGCAAAAAATGAATACTTGAGGATTACAAACAACAACAGTCTATTCTTGTTCTTGTTTGTGTGCTTTTGACTTTCAAATAGTAGTTATATGCGTACGTTATTATTTTTGCAAATTTTTGTTTTGAGACTTCCAGTTTCTCACAAGTAGCCTTCACGATAGCTCAGTCGGTTTAGTTTGAACATATTTTATTGCAATAAATATATACAATGGGATTGGGCACAAGTTCTAAAAACTTAATTCGCCCTCTCCCTACATGTTATATCACAAAAATTCGATCAGACATGTCCAACGGCATGTACAAAGTAAATTAACTCACAACATAGAAACATATACTGCTAAATTATTATCTATATACATTTTTAGAAAAATCAATTAAATCTGCCTGAATGCTGAATATAAGATTGAACAATAGAGAAGAGATATTCATTTTCAGCAATACTGAGTGAAGTATCCCCCCAGAGTAAAGTATGAGTGTCAACAATATGAACTTTATTAAATCTCAAAAACTTATCGAAGAAATCTTTCCTGGCCTCAGTGTAATTAGCTCAGTCGGTAGAGCGCTCGCTCCGTGATCGGAAGGTCGTTTGTTCGAATCACGGACGCGACTGACCTAAGTCGATAAAAAATAGGTAGCAACTGTTCCTTCGCCAAGCGCTCGGCACTTTGAAGTGAAAGTTGCGGGTCCTTCGGATGAGACCTTTTAAACCGAGGCCCCGTGTCACGGTATGCGTTGGCACGATAAAGAACCCTCACTGCTCAATGGCCCTGAGTGTCGAGTAAAGGTCTAATTTGAAGCCCTTCACCGGTATATGGTGACGTCTCTATATGAGTGAAAAATTCCCCGAATGGGACGTAAAACAGCATACAATCAATCTTAATATTTTTTAAATGGTGGAATACATATATTATTTAAAGTAGACAAATTATAACTTTCATGAGAGTCAAGCATTCGAAAAGAAAATGTTCATAAAGTTTGTCCACCTCTGAAAGGTACAGTAGATCGGAAAATAAAAATGCATATTACTCAATCAGAAAGAGGTTCAGATTCCCGTTAACTTAAAAAAATTGGCTTGATTAAAAATATGACTTTACAACATAATATTTACATTTCCATTGTCTTTGTCCGAGATAAAATTTCAAATAATAAAAATACTTTATTTCTACAAAAATCTACTGGTTCATCGATAAGCGTGGTGAAAAAAATCACGTGCGGGGCGGGACAAATAGAGACAGAAGCGGGGTTTGTAGCACGTGAATTTGCAGAATCAAGAGCATGTAAATATAAGGAATAACTGTCAGATTTTTTGGTTTCATGACGATGATCAATCGATTGGCTTGCGTGATAATTTTATCACACAAGCCAATCGATTGATCACATCATGGCCAAAAAATTAGACAGTTATTCCTTAATTCAAATGAGATTAATCGTTGAGAAATTAAAAAAAAAAAAAAAAAATCTTTTATTTTTCAAAATGTTCATTTGGCACTTTAAGCACAGTAATTCCGTTTCTCAGTTTTGAAACTGAAAAAAAATGTTTAAAAAAAATCATCACCCTTTTATATAGTGCCTCTTCAATATTTGAAGTTCTTTCTAAAATATAATTTCCATCACTCATTTCCAACTGATTCAATTTTAAACTAGGAAAAAGATTTACCATTTCGGATGACATAAACTTGAATTTTTTTTTCTCATTTTTCGTAAGCACAATTTCATTCAATTGATTTATAATTTTCTCTGAGGAGAAACCTAATTACCCCATACAAATAACGATTAAAGTTGATAAATATATAGTGTTTTAAAAAAGAGGAGAATATATAAGTAAACATCAACCAAAAATATCAGACTTCTAAAATGATTTAATATATATACACACTGTATGCAGTACCCAACCTTTTTCTTGTCTTCTAGAATTTGGAAAACAAGATATATAACCATTTTTATAAATATGTAAGCATTAATTGAGATGATAAGTTGTTTTATATTCCAATCTTTAGGTCACCAGGGTCACTCAGGTGACCTACATGTATTCTATCCGTTTTCGTCCGTCTTCGTGCGTTAACATTTGAACATTTTCAGCTTCTTCTCTGCAACTGCTGAACCAATTAATTTTGGCATAGAACATCTATCAGTGAAGGGGAACAAAAATTGTGAATTTCATGGCCCCTGCCCCCTGGGGCCTTAGGGGTGGGGCCAAAACCATCAAAATGAGTGCAATCTTTAAAAATCTTTTGGACATTAGGCAGTCAAACTGTTGTCATGATTGTAATAAGCATTGAGCCTTCTACCAAAATTGTGAAATTCATGGCCCCAGGGTCAGGGTTCTGGAGTTAAGGTTGGGCTCTAATGATCATAAAGTGAAAATGCATAAATTCTTTAAAAGTCTTCTTCTCTCTCCCTGTATATAAAGCAGATAAACTAGGTGTATGGTTATAATGATCAAGGGTGCCTCTTCCAAAATTGTGAAATTTGTGGCCCAAGGGTGAGGGGTTCTGCAGGGGGAGGGGATAAATCAAGATACAGTTATGATGAGCAAGGGCGCCTCTTCCAAAATTGTGAATATCTTGGCTCCTGGGTAAGGGGTTCTGGTGTTAGGATGGGGTCTATTGATCATATAGTGAAAATGCATTATTTCTTTGAAAATTTTCTTCTCTGCTCCTAGATATTTGGCAGATAAACTACATATGTTGGTGCATGGTTATGATGATCAAGAGTGTCTGTTCCAAAATTGTGAAATCGGTAGCACCAGGGTGAGGGGTTCTGTGGGAGGGGTTGGGGTTGGGGTAGAGCTTTATTGATTATATAGTGAAATTGTATTAATTCTTTGAAAATCTTCTCTGATCCTAGGTATTTAGCAGATAAACCAAGTACATTGTACATGTATATAGTTATGATGAGCAAGGATACCTCTTCCAAAATTGTGAAATTTGTGGTCCTAGGGTCATGGTGTTCATGTTGGGGGGTCTATTGAATTTAAAGTATAATACTTTTTTTGAAAATCTTCTCTGCGCCTGGTTATATAACAGAAAAAACTAATTACATAGTTATGATGAGCAAGGATGTCTCTTCAAAAAGTTTAAAATTCATAACCTCAGGGTCAGGGGTTTTGGTGTTAGGGAGAGGCTATTTTGGAAATATGTTAGAAATGCATTATTTCTTTGAAAATCTTCTCTGCCCATTGTTATTAAGGAAACATACTAAGTGCATGGTTATGATGAGCAACCCTTAGGGTGCATCTTCCAAAATTGTGAATATCTTGGACCATGGGTCAGGGGCTCCGATAGGGTGGGGTTATATTGAATCTTTAGTGAAAATGCATTATTTCTTTGAAAAACTTCTTCTCTGCTCCTGGGCATCTAGGAGGCAAACAGGGTGTAAGCAAGGGTGTTTTTACTCTTTATTCAGTGTATTAATTTCTACTAAAAGGAGTTATTCCCC